GGGGTGGCAGTAGGTGGTGGCAGAAAAAGCTGTTGGGATCAGATCCTCTCCCATTTCAGGCTGAGATGTCGGGTTATTTGTGTACAGTAAGGAAGTCTCTAGGAGGCTTTTGTTTGTTTGCAATTGATGCTTTTGAGGATATTAATTTCTTGGCAACTTTGAAATGAATGTGTGTTTTTCATGGGAGGTTTCAGAGGGGGCTCTACAGGAGCAGATATGAACCTGGGATCCATTGGGGGGTGCACGGGAGGCCTTCAGGAGGCCGCTGGAGAGAGCGGGGAGAAGCAGCAATGCCCGAATCTCCACCTGGGGAGGCATCATGGAGAGGCAGGTGCTCAGGGAAGTCAGGAGGAGAAGGTGAGAGCCTCGGCCAGCCTAGGCGTCCGCTGCTCTCTCTGAGCTCAGAGGGAGGCCTGGGCCGGGCTGGGAGTGTGGCCAGCCGTGCAGGGGGAGGGTGCAAGGACAGGGCACAGGCTGGGTGCTCTGGAGGCCCATGAAAGACAGAGAGAGGGGCCTTCCCCCACCCCCAGGGTACACAGGCCCAGCATTAGGGAGCTGGCCTGGGGAGGTAGTGGGGACAGGGCAGAGGAAGCCCAGGGCTCGGTGCTTGGGGCCTGTGTCCTCTCCTCCACTGTGGTGGATGCTCCCCGGGGCCACCTCTCCAGGCTTCCTCCCTTCCTCCCACGGCAGCTCCAGTTGGTGTGGCCCCCTCCTGCCCGATCCCCTCACAGTAGCGCCCCCTCCCCCGCATTTTCCTCAGCCCCACATCCCTTTCCCTCAGAGCTCTGAGCACCCTTGGAAATGATCTACTGAGCACGTGTTCACTTGTTCCGTCTCTTCCCCAGCCCCTGAGATGTGAGCTCCGTGAGGCAGGGACATTGCAGGTCGGTCACACTGTGTCCTGGCCCTGAGAAGAGCAGCATGCGAGAGCTCCCAGGGTGACAGCGACTAGAAGGAGCAAATGCGCCTCCCAGCATGGCCCGTCAGATTGGGTATCGCAAAGACCCTGCTGACAGGGTCCCTGGAGAGCCCAGAGGGTGGGCCAGGGAAACAGGCCTGCCTCAGGGTTGTCCCATCAGATTCCTCCGGGAAAGGACTTGCCCGTGTTCCTGGGGCTGCCGCCTCTCTGGGGCAGAATGCCTCACCTGTTTTGGGCGGCCGATGCCCTTTCACGGCCCTGCCTGCTTTGAGATGGGCGGCCGTGAGGCTGGCGTGGTCCCAGCAGCTTCCTCCCAGGGCACGTGGGTCTGGTGGGCTGTACCGCATGGACCGGGCAGCCAGTCTGCACAGAAGGGGGCTCGGGCCAACATCCAGAACTCATGGGGCCACGGGAGCTGTTGGTGCCTGCCCTGCTGCCCACGGAGCAGCCTCAGCTTGTCCCTAATGGACCTTCTCGGGGTTCTCCCTTCCCGAGACACCTGGCTTCCTCGGGGGATGGGGTGGGGCACTGCACACAGAGTCTTTTGCAAGGAGAAAAGGGTTTTGGTGGAGACAGTTTCTGGGCCCCAGGATGGGGAATGGCAGGGCCTGACTGCTGTTCTGCCCCCAGCCGGCCCCAAGTGCAGCGAGGAAGGGCTGCAGGGGCTGAGTGAACTCAGCACCGGAGGGGGCGTGGCAGGGGCTGGTCCCTGGGGCGGCCTCGCCTGCATCACGGTTGGCAGGTGTGAAGACAGGGTCTCCCTCATGGCTCCGTCGGGGCTGCCTGAAAGGAAGGGAGAAGAGCAGCAGCGGTTTTCAGTGTGTGATGCCCCCGTGTGTTCTGTGGCCCTGAGACACTTGTCAGCCCCTGCATCCCAGTGCCTCCTGCTCCCCGAGGAAGTGAACCTCCCTTTGGGTTGAGGTTGTCCAGGCGAGGGGAGTGGGGGGGAGTGGGGAGGGAGGGGACTAGGAACTTGCCCCCCAGCCCGAGAGGACTGGCCGTGGCATGGCGGTCCCTGGAGCCAGGGCATGCACAGAGCCGTGGCGGAGCTGCCTGCGCACGGGCACCTTTGCAGCCACTGCCCGTCTCTGCCACTGTCAAGACTGGCAGTGGCCTTGGCAGGCCCTGGGAGGAGTGAGACCTGTGCTGTCACCGCCTGCTCACTGCACTCGGACCGTCAGAGCTCAGGCCGTGGGCCGGACCGCTGGTGTCCGGCAACGAAGCGCCAGGCCTGGCCTTGGGCTGGATCCTCAGCCCCGTGGGCGGGGCATGGGAAACCCACAGTGCATCGGTGCCCGGCCTGTCCGCCAGGTATCGCTCAGGAAGAGACCCCCAGCATCGTGGCTGATGTGCAGAGCTCACCGGCCCTTCCGCTCTGGACTCCCTTGTGCATCTGAACTGGGCTGGTGGCTGTGGGCCGACCTCCTTCCCGACCTGCGCCCACCCTCACAGGCAGCCAGCTGATCACTTGGCAGTGGCAGGGTCCAGGGCAGGGGCGGGATGCGTAGACATGCATTCGCACCTCTGCTCATGCCAAGTGAGAACTTCCCAGGTGCCAATGCAGCTGGTCTCCTATTTGGAAACATCATGGACACCAAGCAGAGCCGTGCACTAGAACTTTCTCTGAGGATCGTACCAGTGTTGTCCCGAATGGCAGCCACCAGCCAGATGTGGCTCTTCAGCTCTTGAAATGTGGCTCCTGTGGCTGAGGAGTGTGGGGTTTTACTTACTTTCAATGAACCTAAGTTTGCATTGCAACGGCCCATGTGGCTGGCGGCTGCTGTGCTGGCAGCCATACGAGGGCATAGCTGCCACGGCACCGTGCAGAGCTGCTGCGTGTGGCACGGGAGCTGGGGTGGGTGTGCACGTGTGTCGTGCTGAGGTGCTCTCACTTACAATCAGGCGTGAGCTGTGCTGTGCTCAGGAGCGGGAGGCGCAGAGCAGACACCAGTCCTGAGCTTGTCTAGCCGGACCCCTCTCCGGGGGCTCCTGCTCCCTGCGCCACTCCTGCAGCTGCCCTGCCAGGCCCTCTGGTGGGACTGCCTGGCCTCTCGGGAGCCCAGGGGGTTGGCAGCCGTGGCCTGTCGGAAGCGCCAGGTGCGTGCGGTCTTCCTCGGCCGCCTTCTTCCCTGGGCTTTGGTGCAGAGACCAGCCCTGCCACCTGGCACCTCCTTTCTGTCTGAGTCAGTGGGCAGAGCAACAGTGAGGTCGCTGGGTGTTGCCAGGTGAGCAGTGCTGGGTGCCTGTGCCCAGGGGCCAGCTGCCTATGGACAAAGCTGGTTGAGGTCACGGCACCCTGGAACCAGGTACCACTGGCTTGACTATGAGTCACATGTTTGTTGCTCTAGGTGAACTCTTGTTTGGGCGCTGCCATGCCCTCCCCACGGGTCACAGGAGGTTGGCTCTCTGGGCCTCGCAGGTGCCAGGGCCTAAGCAGAAGCCGGTGGCACCTTCCAGAGTGTGGGCGTCAGAGGAGCAAAACGTGGCACAAGTGGGAGGGCGATTTGCCCAAGTTCACAGAAGGACCCGGGTTCTAAGTGCGGAGTCCATGGCTGGCGCTCAGACCCGTTTCCAGGGCTTCCCTGAGTGGGGGTGGGGCCTGCACACTGACCCAGGGCCCAGCACCTGAGTCAGCACTGCAGGGCACTACCCTCCATGCCTGTGTGTGCCTCTCCACACTGCCCCCCAGGACTGCTCTCCCACGTCCGGCTGGTGAGGGGTAGCCCAGGGCCCAGCGCCCTGCAGTGCCTGGTGAGGGGCAGCCCAGGGCCCAGTGCCCTGCAGTGCCTGGTGAGGGGTAGCCCAGAGCCCGCTCCCTGCAGTGCCTGGTGAGGGGCAGCCCAGGGCCCGCTCCCTGCAGTGCCTGGCGCTGGTGGAGCTCTGGAAGTTGGTGGAATGAGCATGGAGTGAATGTTTGGGAGAGGAACTGGTTGGGGTAAAAATCAGGTTGAATTTGAACTGTTTGCTTTAAGTTTGACTCTTGGGCTGGCATGTGCCCCTGGCAGGCCCTGGTAGTTCCTGTGCCAGGCGGGTGCAGCTGGTGAGACGGGGCAGGCCGAGTGTCCGTTAGAGGGAGAGGCGCAGGTGTGGTCTCCCTCTGGGAGCTGGAATGCAGATATGGGCCAGGTGAAGGAAACATCCCAGACTTACGTGGCTTATGGGTTGAAACTTTGGGTTGCAAGTGACAGAAATCCAGCTGAACTTGGCTTTAGCTCATGCAGCTGAAAAATCCCAGAGAGATAGCCTTCAGACACAGCTGGGCCTGAGGCTGAAATGGCACCTTCAGGACCACGTCCCACTGGGCCCTGCCTGCCTCTGTGGGTGCCGTTGGGGGCAGCCCCTTGGGGAAGCCAGCTGGCCCAGGCAGGGCTGCTGCTGAGCGAAGACTGGGAGCCAGGAGGGCTCTGGCCCTGACCAGAGGAGGCTTCTCCTGCTTCCCTCGCCCTGGGCTCCCGCCCCGCCCTCCGGGAGCCACAGGGCAAGAGATGCCTTGGGCCGGCTGCTCACCCTGTTGGAGTTGGGAGAAGGTCAGTTGGACGGAGAGTGAGTGGAGGAGTGTCAGGAAAGTCAGGTCCTGGGAACAAGACAGGGTCCGAGCTCAGGGCTGGGGTGTAGGATGTAGGCTGTTCAGTCACAGGCTAGGGCAGCGACCCAGGCCTTCAGTCAGGGCAGCCAGTGGCCTCCATCACCGCTGAGGGCCCGGCAGCCTCAGCGCAGGGAGAGGAGGGGGTGGAGGGAGCCAGGCAGGGCCGGGCCCACAGCACATGTCGCCAGGAGGCCATGACTGCCATTGGGTGGAAGCAGTCGGGAGGCAGCGGGAGCGGGAGCTTGTGGAGAAGGACTCTTTCTGCCACAGGACCTGCCAGATGGCGCCCGGCCTCCCATGGTGCAGGACCCCGGGCTGTGCTGGTGAGGGGTTGGGACTAAATCCGTGCCCTCTGGCTTTTCTTCAGTGGGCAGGGAGGTAGACTGAGCCCTCACTTCTGGCGGCCTCCATGGGGGAGGAGGGAGCGCTGGAGCTAGACCTTCCACCGTCCCTTTCTGCTTACGGATGGCTCTCCCCTCTTCTCCCACTGCCCAGATATCCGTGGTCTCCAAAGCTTTCTGGACCAGGCCTCGCGGCTGGGCCTTGATGTCTCTTTACAAAAGGTGGACAAGAACATCAGCCACGTGTTCACCAGCCTCTTCACCACCATGAAGACGGAGGAGCTGAATCGCTACCGGGACACGCTGCGCCGCGCCATCCTGCTGCTCAGCCCGCAGGGGGCCCACTCCTTCATCAACGAGGTAGGTGGGGGCTGTGGCCGCAGGAGTGGCTGCTCATGTGGCTCACTCGGGCTGCAGGCGTCGTCTGCTTGTCGTGGGACCCCCCGGGTGCTGGGGTCACAGCACCCGGCAGGGCGGGGAGACCGGCACACCGTGGCTCCTGCCTGGTCCCCAACAGGTGGCCCCAGGCCTCCCCAGCTGCTGGGAGGCTGGGCAGTGAGTGGGGAGCCTTGTACAGGTCACTGGCGGCCATTTCGGAGGCAGCACTCGGGCTGGCTTTATTTCTTACCTTTTACTTTTCTTCTCGGCGTTGGCAGTGTGAGTTCTGGGGGTAGAGTGAATGCCCGCTCTCTGCAGGGGTGGCGGCTCTGCCTGGGGTGCTGGCGCCTGCAGCAGGTGTTGGTTGGCTGTCACCAAGTGACATGTGGTATATCTGTGCTTCGTTTTTGGTGACTGGGCTAATTAGTGACTTTTTAAAAACACCTGTGTTAGGGGTTAGGCCGTTCTCATGAAGACAGGGCTCACCTATTTAACGAAAAACCATTAATTTTAGGACAGACAATTAGACACACTGTGTGAGCTGGTGACTGGTGCCAGTGCTGGTGGTCTGATGGCAGAGATGACAGCTGGCGTTGTGGGCTTCTCTCTGGCCTGGGTTGGGTTCAGGAGGCAGGGGACATGCTGGGATGCTGTGTGCCTGGGAGCAGGGCCGGCTGTGGGGTGGTGGCGGCTGAATGCTCCCTGCGGTTCCCCTCCAGCCCACGGCCTTGGCCTCTGGTGGAAAGTGAAATGAATGAAGGGCAGAAATCTACTAGTTCCACCCAATGCACTTTGCTTGCTTATTCTGCTTCCCCCTAATTAATGATTCCTCAGATGCTACCCACGTGTCGAGAGCCAGCATACCCTGCTGGAGAAACCTACATTTGGAGGCCGCGGCGGGCCCACAGCCCTGCGCTCTCCCTCATCAGCGGGGCGCTGGCCGTCAGCTGCTGTGATGTCTTGTGGGCACCACGTTTTCACCAGAACCCGTTTCCTGTACGAAGGGTTCAGGCCAGTCCCGGGAGCCCAGGGTTGGCAGCACCGATGGGTCCGGGCGTCCTCAGAATGTCCCCAGAGTCTGCTCCTAGGGCAGCCTTCCCCCGTTCAGTCCCCACCGGAGTTGGCTCTGGGACCTGTCTGCTAATTCTGCCACCAGCCTCCTCCCTCTCTTCTCGCCCGTCTCTCGCCCCCCTGTCCTCACCACCTTTCCTTCTGTCCCTGCTGTGCTGCTGACCTGGGTAGGGAAATCCGCCTCACCTTTGCGTGAGGAGGAGGTGGCAGTTGTGGGAAAGCATGTGGCGGTGGCTTTTCCAGAGGCGTCCGTTCTCTTCTCACTGCGCCGTTCATCGTGCCGTCCGGAGGATGCACCCGCCCCGCCCCAAGGCCCTGGAGGATTCCACACATAACCCAGAGCGGCCCAAAGACGCCATTTCCAGTGGCTCATGGTGCGACTCCTGCAGTGCCAGATGCGCTTGGCGTGGCTTCAGCCACTGCCTTCCCTTCCCTAGACCGCCTGTGCACGCCTTGCTCTGCTGAGGCCACAGAGCCGGGGCCCTGGAGCGGCCATCTGGGCAAGAGGGATGTGGTCCTGGGGCTGCGGCTGGAGGCTGTGTGCAGAGCCACACTCGGCGCCACTGCCTTCAGCTCCGCCTGGTCAGTCTTGGTCTCTGGTCCCATGCGCCTGCCACTGGGCATGGGGAGCCGTCGTTTCTGGGGTGCCCACCGCAGGCACCCTCTAATCCTCCCACTTTACAAGCGAGGCACTTGAAGCTGAAGACGTTAAAGGACTTGCGTGAGGTCATGCAAGTTGTCACCAGGGTGCTGGACCGGTTCAAGTCCAGATCTGACCCCCTCTGGAGGCCTCGCTGCCCTGTGGCCGGGATGGCCACAGAGATACAAGGGATTGCAGGCCGCAGTGGGCCGAGATGGCCATGCTGGCTCCACAGGGGAAAGCGGCTCTGGGGCCTGGCAGAGGTTCCCAGGGTGTCCATGCCTCACTGTGAGCAGGAGGGAAGGAACCCCGACCCTGGAGGGGACTGGCCCCCATGACTGGGAGGCTGGCTAGCCCAGCGAGTCCCTGTGGAGACCTGGGAACGCTGTCCCAGCAGGAACGCTCCGTTCACTACTGAACGCATTGCTTCTACACTGACAAGGACAGACAGTAGTCACAAGGCTGACCCCCTGCCGACATGCCCTGAATGTTATGAAACTCAAATCGCTGCTATGGGGCAGGGAACGCTCACCATCCACTGCTGTTGATGACGTGTCCCAGCTGTGCCCGCTCAGGGCTGGCATGGAGGCCTCGGGAAAGACCCTTGAGCTTTCCCCACAATTTGAGTACAAAATCTGTTGCTCAGGGCTGGCATGGAGGCCTCAGGAAAGACCCTTGGTTATGTGGCCTGCTCCCCTTCCCACTTGAGAAGCGTGGCTGATGGGAGTGAGGGGGGAAGATAGCTTTGCCTGAGTGGTTGGGACGGCTGGCACTTACACTGTCATTCGTGACAAATTCGCACGACAGACACGGACTTGGCTGCCTGGGACACCGGTCCCTGTGCTGTGTGGGCGCTGCTGTTTCTCCTGGCACCCAGGGCATAGCCACTCACGGTGGGGGTGTGGCCGGGGCCCATTCTCCACGGGCTTCTCTGTGATCCCATTTTATGGGGGGGGGGCAGCCTAGCCTTACTGGGGGCCAAGGTTTGGGCAGCTTGGACTTGGTGGTGAGTGGGAGGGTTGGAGGGTGGTAATGGGAGGTATTGGGGCATGCTGGTGGGCTCCTCTCCCAGGCCCCACCTCAGATTCCCTTGCCTTCCATCACTAAGTCTTGAGTCCATACTCCCTTCTCCAAGGTCTCATCACAGTCCTAACAATTACACATCAGCGTGCGGTCTCTAGAAGGCTCCCCCTGGGGGACTGCGCTTAGGGTGACAGTGTCTGGTCTCCTGACCTCGGGTCCTGAGCCACGGGGTTGGGAGGGTGGGAGGGCGCCCTGCTCTGGGCCTGGCGCTGGAGCTCTGAGGAGGCAGCCGGCTGCAGGCAGGCGCCTCTGACTGGGGAGGGAGCGGAGCCTTTTTCCTGAGCGCTGGCTCCTCTCTGGGCTGCTGGCTGCTGAGGGCGCTCCTGGGGCAGCAGCACCCCCTGATGCTCTGTTCCCAGGCTCCTGTCAGCTGGACCGCCAGCCCCCTCAGGCACAAGGAAGGGAGTGGTGCCATCTGGCCAGGGATAGGGGTCGGCCAGCGTGTGCAGGATGCTTCCTGGGCAGGGGACACTGTGGCTGGGTCCACAGGAACGGGCCTTCCTTACCCCATAGCCAAGGAGGGTGAGGGGGAGGTCAGAGAGCCCGTGTTCAGAGAGGGGTGTGTGGGGCGCTGTAGCACTGGGTGGGCGGGAGCGGCCAG